GAGAACTGGCAGTTTTTGCTTTCATTATCATGACATTTTCTCTTTATTCCAGTTTTTCTCTGGGGGCGTGCCTTTTCTGTGATTTGGAACTTAGGCAGTGTTCTTATTCTATTAGTCATTACTTTAAAGCTTTCAAAGACATTCCTTAGCAAGATCACATAAATAGAGAAATAAGTAGAACACACTTGTTGAAGTTGGTAACAGGAAAATAATTCACTGCTGGGAAGGATGAGGGTGTGTTATTTCCATTTGTTTCCTTTCTGCTATTTTCTCATTAATGTAATTGGGCAAAGTACAGCGTTGTAGTTTTATTTGCTTGTTTTGCTTTCGTCTTCTTCGGAATATCACTTTTACAAAATAAGAAAAATTGTTTTTTGAGGCAGGGACTCCCTGTGTAGTTCAGATTGGCCTTGAACTCATGATAGTCCTCCTGCCTCAGCCTCCCAAATGCTGGGATTGCAAGCGTGCACCGCAACACTTGGGAATAAAAGAAGCAATTTTTATAATTTACTTCACAGTCATTTAAGGCCGTTCTGCATTTGATTTTCAGACATAGTCTCGCTGAATTGTCTAGGTGGTCCTAAAACTTGTAATGCTCCTGCCTCAGCCTCCCAGGTAGCTGGGATTATAGGCAGACGCCCCCGTACCTGGTAAGGGTCTGCGTCACCTTTTCCAGTCTCAGATGCACATCCCTGACATAGGCTCAGGATGTGTTTCCTGTCATCTGTCTGTTGTCAGTTTGCTTCATAGACTACTGTGACCAGACTTCAAAAGGAAAAAGAGTAAACGTAAAGTTCCCTGCAGGGTCGGGTGTGGCTTGGTGGTGGAGAAGCTGGCTCTCCACCCCCAGCACCGGCCTCTTCGCAGTAGCAGCGTCCGAGGGGGTCGCAGCAGTCTCCCCTCCACACAGACGGGGTGTGAGTAGTTGTTACATTGTGTTATTTAGGGAGTAATGATAAGGAAAAGTCCGTAGAGCTTCAGAACAGATGCAAGTTTTTCTTTAAATATTTTTGAACCACAGTTAGTTGAACCCATGGATGGGGAGCCCGTGGGTACAGAGGGCCTACTCTATACAGTTGTTCATGGCGTTCTCATAGTCCTCATTTCTGTAAGGTTGGTAGTAATGTCTCCTTTCATCCTTTTTTTTTTTCATTTTTTTCCAATACCAGGAATCGAACTCACGACCTTGCGCTTGCCAGGCAGACGCTGTGCCGCTGAGCTAAATCCCCAGCCCCTTCTTTTTTTTTTTGAGATGGGGCCTCACTATCTAGTCCAGGATGGTCTCAAACTCACTTTGTAGCCCAGGTTGGCCTTGAACTTACAGTGCTCCTCCTGCCTCAGCCTCCTGAGTGCTGGGACTACAGATATGTGCCACCATGCCCAGTTACATTCCTGACTTTAATAATTTGAGCCTTTTTTTTTTCTTTTGTCCATGGTCTGTTTAGCTAAAATAGTTTTATAAATTTTGTTAATCTTTTTAAAGGGTTAACTTTGGAGGGGATCGAGGTTTTAAAAAATAATTTTAATTTTTATCTTTTAGAGACAGGCTCTCACTGTGTAGTGCAGGCTGCCTTAAACGCATGTTGCCCAGGCTGGCCTCAAACTCGAGGCGATCCTCCTGCCTCAGCCTCCTGAGTGCTGGAATTGTAGGCGTGTGCCACCACAGCCAGCTACCTAAGCATTTTTAATCATTGTTCTTCTCTGTTGGTTGGATGGGTTTTGTTCTGTCTTGTTTCCACTTTTGTATCAGGTAATGTATGTTGTGTGCGTGTGTGTGCATGTGTGTGTGTGTGTGTCCTGATGATATAAGTGATGTTTTGCTTTAGGTTTACATTACAATTACTGCTGCATAGAAAAGACACACAGCTAACATTTTTGTTTGTTTTCATGTCATAAACTGGGTGGATGGATGATGGATGGTAGAGGAGAATGGTCCTTCTCTTTTTTGTTGCTGTTTTTTTGTGTTTTTGCTTTTTGGCTTTTTGAGGCAGGGTCTCGCTATGTATTTCAGGCTGGCCTCGAACTTGCAAGGACCCTCCTGCCTCTGCCTCCTGAGTTCTGGGATTGCAGGCTGGCCCCACCCCCATCTCCTCTGATAGCTTATCAGAGACTGGCGGCTGCCACCATGCTCAGTGTTCTGAGGGGCCTGTTCTAAACAGGCCAAACTTCAGAGAGCCCAGGAGGTGCCCTGTAAACTGGTCTCCTCCGTCTGCCGCTCCTCACGGCTGTGTAGGCCCGAGGTGGAAGATGAGGTGTGATGTCTGTGTGTCTCCCCAGGGTGTCTGCGAAGAAATGACCTACGAGGAGATTCAGGATCATTATCCACTGGAGTTTGCCCTGCGGGACCAGGACAAGTACCGGTATCGGTACCCCAAGGGGGAGGTAGGTGGGTCTTGGGGACTCGGCACTGCCACCTGCAGCCGCCTGGGAGCACCGCCTGTGGCTGAGGGCTTGGCTGTGAGCCCGAACGTGAGCCGAGCTGAGGGGCCCTGGCTTCCTAGGACCCAGGGTAGCTCAGAGTCCGCCGGCATCCCCCGGCCAGCCCTTCCCAGGGCGCCCGAGTGGCCAAGGAGTCCGATGCAGTCTCTGCCGGCACAGAGATCCAGGTCTTGCCGGCTGTGTCTCTGCCCCACGCCCTCACCTCTCCTCTGGGTGCTGCCCCTCGTCACAGCGACCTCGTGCTCCCTGCAGCTCGGCTCACCCAGCCTGGGTCCTAGCCCCCCAGCCCTTCCCTGGGTAGACTGCGGCCACCACAGGCAGCCTGCCCTTGTCCGCTTTCCTCAGGCAGACGCCTTGGTCAGCCTGGGCCCGGGTCAGGACCCAGGGGTCCCCTTGACTTGGGCAGCTCCTCTCCCTTCTGGGAGCTGGGCTTGGACAGTGATCAAACAAACTCCCCCCAGAGGGGGCTGGGGTATGGCTTAGTGGTAAACCTTTGCCTGGTGTGTCTCAGGCCCCAGTTAGATCTCCAGCCTTCGAAAAGACAGAAAAAGACGCACCGTGTGTATCTGCGCATGTGCGTGCACAGGGGCTTCCTGCCGGCGGGTGGCCCCCAGGGTGTGCTGTGCCGTCCTCAGGAATAGAGCGGCTCTGAGGAGCGCGAATGTCCCCAGCACCATCCGGTAAGGGACAGTTCGGATTTAGAACTAGTCGGATCACAGTCGGTTAGGAAGTTCCCGAGAGAATTGATGTAGGGTTTCCCCAGAGCCACCGGGTAAGCGCGAAGCAGTGTGTTGTCACGGCCTCCGCGTTAGAGTGTGGGCCACACTGAGCTCAGCCGCTGGAGCCCGACTTTAAGCACTGCGCATTGCATGTGGGGGAGTAAAACTCCGCTCCCAGGAAGGCCCAGTTTCCTGGTGAGAAATCTCTAAGTCCGCCGATGGAAATGTTGAGCCAGGGACCAGCGGAGTCCAAGTGCGCGTTCCCATGGTGACGGGGAGGGTATCCCACGGGGAGGGTGTCCCACAGGCCGGCCATGGCGTTCACGAGGACCTCGGGGGTTTCTGGCAGCCCCGTTCCAGAGGGAGCTCTGGGGCTTCTGCTTCCCTCCCACCGCCCCTGTGCACCTTGTCTGCCTTCTCTGCCAGCCACCGTCACAGTACGGGGAGTTCATCCTGGAGGTTTGGCATGGGCGGGCAGGAGGTGGCCCCTGGGGAGGAAGCCTGGGGCTGGGTCCTCTCGGTCCTACCAGGCCGTGCCTGTAGGAGTGGGGAGAGGCCCTTCCTTGGGTGGCCCATCCTCATACCCACCAGCTTCCTCGCCAAGCCAGACGTCTCACCGTGGCCATCCTCTGGGGGCAGCTGTCCGCCTTGCCCTCAGGAGCCAGGCTGGCAGATGCTGGGGCTGCACTCTCCACGGTGGGGAGGTGGCCCACGGTCCAGGGGCTTCCCTTCCTGCCCCTGGAGCAGCCTCAGACGCCTTCCCTTCTGCCCTTGCAGTCCTATGAGGACCTGGTGCAGCGGCTGGAGCCTGTTATCATGGAGCTGGAGAGGCAGGAGAACGTGCTGGTCATCTGCCACCAGGCTGTGATGCGCTGCCTGCTGGCCTACTTCCTCGACAAGGCGGCGGGTGAGGGCCTTGCCTAGGGAGGTGGGTGCGCGCGCGTGAGAGTCCGTCCCTGGGCACCCCCACATGTCACCCTCCCTTCCGTGCCCACAGAACAGCTGCCCTACCTCAAGTGTCCGCTGCACACGGTCCTGAAGCTCACCCCTGTGGCCTACGGTAAGGGAGCTCCCCACGGCCGCCCCTGGGTCACTGCAAGCCGGGCTCTCTGCAGGGTCCCGTGCTTTCGACAAATGCGTGTCAGTCCCCCCGGGCCGCTCTCGCTCCTCTTCCCACTGTGCCTTTTAAGTTGGTTATAAAGAATTTCACGTTGGGTTTGGGGCGTAGCTAAGAGTTCACACCGTGGTGTGCGTCATGCCCTGCGTTCAGTGCTGAGTATCACAGAGTGAGAAGTTGATGCGACCACACGAAGCCTCCAGGGGACCATTCCTTAACCGTCACCCACCCACCGGCACACGGGGCTTTTCTGCTGTTGTATCCAAAACCCCCACAGCACCAGGGGCTCCCAGGGCGGGGCGGGGCCTCCAGCTGTTCTGGGTGCGAGTGGTTTGTGTCCAGCACGTCTCCCAGTGCACCAGCAGAGGCCTCGGGCGGCTTCCTGATCTCCCGGGACACAGTGTTCACGGAGGGCGAAGCTCTGGCCGCTGGTGTCCTTCCACTGCGATCACCCCCTCGTCCCCCTCGTCCCCCTTGCAGTGAGCGCTCTGCCCAAGCTGAGCCTGACTGGCTGTGTGTGTCGGGGTGGGGATGCTTGGGGTCCCAAGCTCAGCGTGCCCGTGGTGAGCAGGCCTGTTCCGCTCTGAGCACCTGCGGCTCCTGGGACAGTCCTTGGGGTCTCTGTCTGCACGGTCGCACATCCTGTCTCCCCTGGGGCTGCTGGAGGTGGGGGCCGGAGTGAAGGTCAGCACCCGCTCCCGCTCGCACCCCGGCTCGAGCCCCGGCCTCCTGCGCCCACCGTGGCTGAGGCTGCGTCCCGCGGTGGGACTGCATCCGCCCCTTCCCTTTGGCAGGTTGTAAAGTGGAGCCCATATTCCTGAACGTGGCGGCTGTGAACACGCACCGCAACAGGCCGCAGGTAGCCCTGGGGTCACTGCTGGGCGCGGGCCTGTGCCTGGGGCCAGGCTCCACGGTGCAGCGCCCCTGTTGGGGCTCTTCTCTTGGTCTTCTGCCAAGGCTGTTCTCTGCCGCAGCATCTGCTGTGTGGTGGGCTGAGGGTCGGTCAGGTGCCCCGAGGCCAGCTGCCTTGGGAGGAGGAGGGCCTGGATGTGGGCCACCGAGGCAGGAAGAGCCTGAGTCCGGGTACGGCTGAATCCCCTGCAGCGTCACTGCAGAGGTCTGACAAAGAGGAGGAGGCTCCAGGGGGCAGGCGGGAATTCTTCCGCACACCCAGCCCCAGCCCAGGCGGCATGAGCACCTTCTCTAACTGGAGCACTTTAGAACATTAAAATGAAACCATTGGACGTGGTACTGCTTGTCTGTTATCCTAGCACTCGGGAGGCTGAGGCAGGAGAATTACCACGAGTTCGAGGCCAGCACGGGCTCCATAGTGAGTTCGAGGCCAGCCTGAACTGCATAGCAAGATTCTGTGTCAAAAAACCAAACAAAGAAGCACACAAACAGAAAAGATACTGTGCCTTGTTGGAGACGTTTTTGCAGAAGGGTGCTTCCTGCCTGTGTTCTCTGAGGTCCTTTTTTGCATTTGATTGTTTGTGTTTTGACCTTTAACTCTCAGCAGTCCTCCTTCCCCAGCCTCCTGAGTGCTCGGATTTCAGGTGTGTGCCCCGCGTCCAGCTTTGGGGCCTTGTTCACGGTGGAAGCTCTTGAGGTTCTTCCCAGAACCACTGCTTCCTCTCCAGCAGCGCGGGTAGCCCGCTGCAGCGGGCAGCCCGCGGTCTGAGCGCCCGCTGTGTGCCGGGAACCCGTGACCCGCGCTCCCGGGTCAGGGTTGGGATCCCATGGCGCAGGCTCCAGAGGTCGGGGTGTGTGACTGTCCCTCCGGCCACAGAGCTGAGGAAAGCAGGCAGCAGGCGTGGCACCTGTTTCTGCTGGCGGGTGAGTGTTCTGTGTTCCTGTCGTGCAGAATGTGGACATCTCTCGGCCTCCGGAGGAAGCCCTCGTCACAGTCCCCGCTCACCAGTGACCGCGTCTCATCCACTGCGATGCCTGGGCGGGCGTAGATGTCTGTGAACGAGGTCATTCCACGCCCCGCGGAGTGTGTGACGGGGACCTTACGGGAACTCTCAAAGCTGTGTAGGACCGGCAGCACCCCGAGCCCCTGGCGAAGCCCATCTGGCTCCTTGATGGTAGTGACGGTTGCCATGGCTGCTGACTTGCCGTTCAGAATCACCAGGCCAGACGCGCTGCTCGGGGAGGGCAAGGGTGCCAGCCCCTAGCTGCTGCGTTGCAGTTCTCAGATGGCCGCTGTCTGCAGGCCAGCTGGCTGGTGAGGTGTGTGGCTCTGACCGTGCAGGGGAAAGTGTCACCGAGAGGGCCCTGCTGCGGCCCTGCTGCCCGCGGTGGAGCCTGCAGCGCCTCTCCTCTGCTCTCGGGGGCTCCTTGCTGAGCCCGGGGCAGGTCCTCGTGGGATCCTGAGCGTCTGCTCCTGTAGGTGACGGGGAGAGTCCTCCCGGTGCTTCCTTGCCCAGAACCAAGGAGTGGGGCCACCGGCGCGTCCTGAGTCCGTGTTGCTCGTCTTGGGTGGGCTCAGGAAGGCCGCGTGCCCCTGCAGCGCGTTGTGGGGGGAAGAAGCCCCTGTTGGGGGCCGGGGCTGGGTGCAGGTCTGTGGCCGCCCCGTACTGACTGGACATACACTGGACTGGGAGGATCTGCTTCCCAGCTGAGATGCTCACAGTGGAGCCACATGGACAGGGCCGCTGCGCACGGGCGGGCGGCGAGGGAGCCTCTGCCGTGGCGGCCTCTGTCCACCCCGGAGTGTGCACCGGTGGACGTCCACTGATTGCACGTCTGAATGCTGCTGAAGCCTCGCAGTGGTCCCTAAAACCCGTGCCAGTGCTTATGGGCCTCTCCCTGGGGGACTAAGGAAAGGATGGAACCCTGAGGTAGCCCCCGGCTGAGGGAGGATTTCTCTAGCCCTGATACAGCTCGGGGTATGCACGTGTGAGCCAGGGGAGAAGGGCCTTACGAAGCCTGGCATCTGTCATGCCCCTGAGCTCTTTTAGGTCCGGGCCGTGGGTTCTGGCTCCAGCTCCTTGCTGCCCAGCAGAGCGCCCGGCACGCTGCGGGGTGGGGCCAGAACGTACCTGGACTAGCAGTCGGGGCCCTGCTGTCCGCAGGTGGCTTTAAGGGCGTCAGGCCTCTGGCGCAGCCTCACCCCGTACCCAGCACCTTTCCAGGCCTGTGCCTGGCGGAGCAGCCTCCCTTTTACAGCCCATGGGGCTTTGCAGTCTACAGGCACCACCTGCCCCCGGGGAAGATCAGGGCACCTGCCCCTCACCTTTGCCCTCTCATTCCCATGGGCTGCTACAGCGTGGACACACACAGGGAGAGATGCCTGGGATAGGGCTGCAGGAGGACCTTCCTCCTGGAGTCGTCTCCTATCAGAGCTCTGAACCCCTCCCCAGGCCCCAGGCCCACTCATTTGGCTTTGCAACATGGGGCTGTAGCCTTTGATGGTGTTTCTCAGGGTTCCAAGGACTTCCGCCACCTGGGTATACTCACTGGTTAGCCATAGTGGGTCCCTTTGGTCAGTGGCTGCTCATGTGCATCTGGATGTCCCCTGGGCAAGTCACACATGCCGGGCGTGGTGGCACACGCCTGTTATCCTAGCACTCGGGAGGCTGAGGCAGGAGGATCCTTGCGAGTTCGAGACCAGCCTGGGCTACAGAGTGAGCTCACAGCCAGCCTGAACTGCATAGGGAGACCCTGTCTCATAAGGACAAAAAGGCAAGTCACACAGGACTTTGTTCTCCGAGTACCGAGGGGAGGCAGGAGTGAAGGGACAGGGATGCTCTCTGGGGGCTGGAGACAGGGCAGAGGGAGATCTGGGGGCCGGGTGTGCAGTCACAGCCTCTGCCTGTCTCTGCCCTGGAGCAGCCTCTGTGTGGCAGTGCCACGCTCAGCTGGCTGCCAGCTTTTAGCTGGAAGGGTTGATGTGTCCGAGGTCCCGCAGAGGTCCTGCTTTCCCAGGAGAGAGCAGAACTGGTTCTCAGCCACAAATGGGACTGTGTCCAGCATTCTTTGCAATAAATACTTTTTAGAACCTAACCATTTAAGTTTATTTTGTAGCTACTTTTCCATCCCAAGGTATTCCTCCTGTAGCCCCGTAGAGGACCCGTGTTCTGGTCTTTCCCATAGGTCTGAATTGGAACCCTGACTTCCGCCCCCACCCCTGGTAGCGCCCTCACTGGAGGGGTGTCGTGTCTCCTCGGAGTGAGGCCTGGGCCGGGCACACGTGGGCACCCGAGGTCCTTCCTGGGCCTCTGGGCTTGTGGGTGATTTTATCTGGAAAATTGAGGGGGTCCTGTCTGTGGCAGGCAGGTTAGTGGGCCTCAGAGTCTCCTTATCTAAGTGTTGGGCTTCTGGAATCTAGAGCCCCGTAGGTCAGACTGTTCGGATGATCGTCAAGACCACACGCCGTGGTCTGTGCACCCCTCTCATGCCGCAGCTCAGCCCTGCGGTCAGCTGGGAGTCCGGCATCGACGCTGAGATCTGGGAGCTGTTTCAGTGCCGGTGTCCTCCAGCAGAATCCCTGATGCGCGGTGCACAGCGGCGTTTTAGAAGCGCTGAGCCCGGTGTATGAGAAGCGGCTGTCCGAGGTCAGAGGCACCGTGAGGCTGAAGAAGGAGGTAGGCAGGCCTCGGGTCGCGCAACCTGGAGTTTACCAGGGCCATGACCAACAGATGTGCGTCTTGGCGGCGGGGCCGAGGGGCACACCGCCCGGTGCTCGCGTCTGGGCGGGCCAAGCGCGGCGGGGCGGAGGCCTGGTTTTGCAGATCAGTGGCAAGTGGGTGTGTTCGCTACGCTAAAGGGTCTGGCGGGAGGGCGCAGAGTCCGGGGCTGCTGAAGCCCACCCCCCTCCAGCCGGCATACCGGCGGAGGCCTCCGACCCCGTGGCAGCCACAGTCGGTGTACTTCATGCTCTGCGTGCCCTTGGATAGGACGCTGTGCTCGGCGCCATGCTCAGCGGCCCCGTGGAGGCGCTCACCAGTGCTGGCAGCTGGGTGCTAATTGACTGCAAGAGCTACGGCTTTGGTACAGTGCTCAACTACCTGTGGTTCAGGGTTGCAGGGAAAACCAGGGGGAGCTCCTAGGTGAGGGCTGCTCCTGGTACAGGGCCTGACTGAGGACTGCCAGCTGGCACCGCAGGGCATACGCCAGTGTCTCCGGTTGTTCCTGTAAGGAACGGGGCAAGTCAGGCGACCAGCAGAGACCTCAAGCCTTGGGTAAAGGCAGCATGGTGAAATTTGTCGGGCCTGGGTGCAGGCAGACAGAGGGTGGAAAGGCCGGCTGTGGGGTGCAGAGAAAAACAGCCGTTTTTATAGGGCTTGGCCAAAGGGGTCAGTGAGGAGATCAGGCACGGTATCTGGGAAGGGGGTCAGGGACTTCAGGTGAGATCTGAGCAAACATCTGTAATCAGAGTTGTCGGTGTCTGGCCTCAGTGGTCAAAGCCCTCAAAGCGTCCAATGTGAACGTGTGGATGTTTTCAGATGTCCTGGCGCTTGGAAGGTTCCGTGTTCTGTCCTACCTTTTCCTTATGATGTCCTGGTTGGTGTTTACTGAGGGCAATAGTACCAGTGCTCAGCTGGATTTTTTTTTTTTTTCTGAGAATGATGCCAGTGGTGACAAACCCCTGTTTGGGTGCTGGAAAGTCCCACCGGAGTTGAGCCTGACATTCTCATCTCTTTTTAAAATATAAACAGAAAGGAAAAATAAGAAGAAGAAGGAAGATGGGAGTTGGATTTCCTCGCTGCTTCCTGCGTGACACGTGGGCTGAGTGGGCAACCCAGTGGTGATAAACCCCTGTTTGGGTGCTGGAAAGTCCCACCGGAGTTGAGCCTGACATTCTCATCTCTTTTTAAAATATAAACAGAAAGGAAAAATAAGAAGAAAAAGGAAGATGGGAGTTGGATTTCCTCGCTGCTTCCTGCGTGACACGTGGGCTGAGTGGGCAACCCAGGGAAGAAAAACCTTGGGGAACAAGCTCCTGCCTGGCAAGCACAAGGTCCTGAGTGCAATTCCTGGTAACAAAAAATAAAAAAGGTCAAAACCTTGGGGAACTGTTCCATAGGGTGGGGCAACTACTGCCGATTAGTGATTGTTCAGATGGGGGTCTTTTTATATTTTTGTCTTTTTGAGACAGGGTCTTGCTATGCAGTTGAGAATGGCCTTGAGCTCACTTTATAGCCCAGGCTGGCCTCGAACTCGCACCGATCCTCCTGCCTCAGCCTCCTTAGTGCTGGGATTACAGGCATGTGCCACCACACCCAGGTCAGATGAGGTCTTGTAAGAACTGTGACGGGAGTCTGAAAAGACAGGGCCCAAATAAGAGGAGGATTATACAGACTGGCCGTCCTGCTAAGGGAAGAAGCCATGCAGTCCATCCTTAGACATCAGTCCGAGTTGGACATACGCTGTCTAATTTCTGAGGGCCTTTCAGTAGGTCTTTTAGCTGCGTCTTATACTATGCCCAATTGATTTGTGCAAAAACAGCGTTTTTTCCTAGGAAGATGTATCCTGATGCCAGAGAATCAGTTTGGGATTGTACAGTAATGTTGCAGAAACCCAACATCAAAGCAAGTGGAAGACTCTTTGCACTGAGGAGCTAGAAGGCAACTTTTATTACGCTAGTGGGCTGGGGAATCCAGAGGTTCACATCACCAGCCCAGAGTCAGGTTTGGTGTAAGTTTAAATATGGTTTGCAAGCGGGAAGGACAAACCTGACGGCAGGTTTTTACATGATTGGTTACATGGAATACAAGAATTAAGTCAATATTGCCAGGCAGAATTGTACAGGAACATTCTGGGAGGGAGGGGGCCTGAGAAGAGTAGGTAGAGTTGAAAATGTCCTTGAGCCTGGCGTGGTGGCACACACCTGTAATCCCAGCACTCGAGAGGCTGAGGCAGGAGGATCCTTGTGAGTTTAAAACCAGCCTGGGCTACAAAGTGAGCTCATGGCCAGCCTGAACTACATAGTGAAACCCTGTCTCAAAAAGACAAAAAAAAAAGA